CGGTTGAGAAGATACTTGGAAGTGTGGGAGATCTGCTAATGAAACACTAAAGGGTTTATATGAGGGAAAAGGGAAAAGGTCACTGATGGCGCATCATCAAGAATCAACTATTCTGCCAATGTTACAAGATTGTAAGAGCAGAACCATGCCACGGTTTATATTACACAGCATAACAAAGCTGTCGAGCAGATGAAACTTAGCCGTTTCCGGGTATTAGCATGAATTTGTAATCCACTCAAAGAGAAACCAGTAAAAGGATGAAAGGATAAGGCATTTGCCGTGCCTAATTATGCCACCCCGGAGGGATGGAAGGCTTGGTTGGCCCGGGCGACTCACGACCCAGGATTTGATCCCCGGACCGCTCGCGTGGTAAGCAACGCCACTTGCCACTACACCACTTCCACCCATGACTAAACTGAAACTAAACTTTGATCTTAGCCAAAAGGCCGAGAAGCAAAAAGGCCATGACGATCCGGTGGAGGCGATAAAACTAGTGTTTGTGGACGAAAGTATGGTCAGGGTAGAGAGAGTTTAACGAGACGACAGGCGGTGCATTCGCAGCAGAATGCTCCCTATCAGCGGCATGGTAAGACGTCGAGGCGCTTCAAGAGCCTTTCCAGTTCTCAAATACGCCTACGGGGCATATAAAAGGGATTGGAGGTAATGCATTAATAGGACCGTTACCGCCATCTTTGCCTTGCTTTTTCCAGTGCGCGTTGCACAGCCCATCAAAACAGTGGCTGTTTATCTATCGCCGTTCAATTTTTCATTTTTCGGCACCTCCATCGTTGATGCTCGATGTTTACGGAGCTTCTCTCAGAGCATACTTTTCTAGTTGTAGATTGTAACCTAGCAGCTCGCCCACTACATCTGTAGCTTTGTTCACGGTGATGGAAGAAACGTACTACGTTTCCACGGAATGCGACTATAAATTCTAAATCCTTTTAGTAACGAGGCAGGCTCTGCGCCCTGTTCTAGGACTTTTGCTTGAATGGAAGTCCACATGGCTCTCAACCTCATTCCACAACTATCTTCGCCTTACGCCGGCAAACTTCGATGTAGCGTAGATTTCGACGATCCTATACATTTGCATATTGGTTCCTGCACAGAATACAAAAACAGAAAGTACCTAAATTAAACATGTCGCCTCATTTGCGGCTACTATCTTGATACACATACGTGTGGCGTAGACACTAGTGCTTGATAAACTCTTCCCTAGCTAGCTAACTCAAGTTAACACAATGTTGCTCGTCGGGTATGTACGTCGAAACTCCCACATCTAACATTTGTGCATCGCCGAGTATGCACATCTGTATTCTGTCCCATAGCAAACCTTTTCACGCGAATTCGTAAAACATGTGGCATGCCGACAACTTCAATTTCAACAAACTTATGATGTCTTGAACTGGATCCGTTTTGCGGAACTTGCTTAGCCTTTTTTCGTGCAATATATCAGCCAAACTCGCAGCGGAGTACGCCCATAGCGGAGTATGTTATTGGCGTATCAGACAGAAAAAAGAGTAGGAAGTTGCTTGGGATTTCACTCCAGTCTGCCTGCATTGTCCAAATGATGTTATTCTAGTGACGGTATTCAAAAACGCTCCCAAAAATACGTACGAAACAAATGTTAAAAAACAAAACAATACAAAACAAACGACCTTATAAACACGAAATTACAAGCAAAATGAAAAAGGACTTCTGATTCGTGTACGAAATCAGAATTTCTCACGCCCTTTCAACGAAAATCCACAAAATGTCACACATATGAGATTTGTGCATCGCCGAGTATGCACGCACGCAATACAGCCAATGACACATGTGCGACATGCGCCGAAATCGGCGCGGGCGTCAATGTGTTAACCCTTTGACGACAATGCGGATTTGCACGTAGCGTGCTCGTGGGACCACGCCTCTTTTTGGCGCGCCCAACTCTCGCACAAAATGGGGCAAAATTGTCCCTAAAAGCAGTTTTTCTATCAAAATTTTGACTATGACAATAAACAAAATATGACTGCAGTCTTAAGCTTTATGATCATGTATTGTTGGAATTAGAAGTGGAAGTTTGGAAAGAAATCTCGGATTTCAAAGGGATGGTGTTTGAAAAATTTGAAAACTCTAGAAGTTCAAATGTACAGTAGAATTTTTGATATAGTTCAAACTCCTCCTTGTGTCTTAAGACTGTGAAAAGACGTAGAGGTCCTGATCTGTAATTCACCTTAAGCTTAATAATGTAAAACACTAGTTAATACATCGCCGAGCGAAGTGCCATATCCTAAAATTTCATATAAATTAGCTAGTAACAAACATTTCTGCAAAATATGCTAAACATAGGCGTAACGGAGCTTGCTTATAATTACTGATATGTTGAAAATGTTTTGAATGGGTAAAGAAGAAAATTGGATGATTTACTTATACACAATCAGAAAGAATCTGATATAGAAAATTTTCTGAATAACGTATATAACAATACGTTAGAGCTCAAAAAACTAACCCAAACGAATTTGCTAGTGACTATTTAGACCTTAGTATTAGTATAAAAAATGATCAAATCTTTACCAACTTGTATAATAAAACAGATGATTTTAATTTCAAAGTTCTGAGATTTCCACATTCCCAAACAATATCTCTCTTCAGAATAAAGCTTCAGTATTTATACCGAAGCACTAAGAATTGCCAACGTTTGCTCTACAATTACAATGTATACACAAAAAATAAAGGATCTAATCAGAACAATGATAAATAACGGCTACTCAAAGAACTTTATAATTGCTAACATTATCAAAAGTATTTATAAAAACAAGTTCATTGGTTATAAATTTGCATTAAATAATAAATATATAATATCCTAGCATCAGAAAACTGGTC